TAGATACTATGGAGACGTAACTATTAGTATAGCATAGTGACAATGCTTTATCATAGCGTCCTATCCGAGTCGAGTAGCGGCGTGTCCGCTGAAGGTCGTAACTCATCACGTTAGGACCTCGGTAAACGCGATCAACATGTCGCCGGTGGTGATCGGTACTTAAGCTTCCCTATTGAGAGATTAGTCAAGTGCTGCGGCATTCGTTGTTCTGCCGATCTCCCCAGCGTCCTCCACATTGATGTGTGGTTTGTACATCCCGTCCAGCGGCTGGTACATTGAGCGTTGAGAGCTGCAGACGACGATGTCGGTAGACTGAAACGTGTGCTGTTCTGTCTGTCAGTTAACGTATATATCACGTGTCTTGACTATAAGATACTCCTTGCCCGACTCATAGAACTAAGGTTCCTCGGCTAATCATTACATTTTGTTTGCGTAGTGCCATCCGCACTCAGCATGTCAACTATAGCTATCTCCACGAGATATATGTCTTTAACTATGCGCGCTTTACATGCATCTATGTAGACTAAACTCTACGGCTATCCTTTTCATTACAACGTATACAATCGTATGTCGGCATTGAACCGTTCGAAATAAGGTTCGCATTATTAGCCTCATCATAATATGTAATTTGAGTAGAACGTGAATACAATAGGAGATGAAGTGGACTGTGTGTGAGGATGGATGGGTGGGTAGAGGAATTTAGGGTGAAGCTTTTTGTGTAATTTGGGTGGAAAGAGAGAGAGAAATGGCGATAGATTGGGAAGAAGGAACGTGTATCGATGCAGAAAACAAAAACAAATTTAGACGTTTGAGATAGAGACAAAGATGGAGATAGATGCAATAGAAGGAAAGGAGAGAGACAAAGGGCGAGAAAGAGATGCGGGAGAAAAAGTTGGAGATATGAATAGGAAACGAGGAAAACGTCAAGAGAGAGAGAGAGAGAGAGAGAGAGCGCGATGTGGAGGAATAAGAGAGAAAGGGAGGAAGGAGGAAGCAAGGGAAGGGGAGGCTTGGATAATAGGAGGAACGGGGGAGAGTGAGAGTAGGGGTGATCAGGGTAAATAGCCGGTAGATGCGCCGTGTCATGATGTACATTTTTACTTTAAGGTTGGAGCTAGGATCATGTCTGCTTGTGGACTGGTTCCCATCGCTTGCCTACATTGACAGCGCTGAAGTCAAAGAATTAAAAAGACTCGTACAAACGATTGTGGGCTGGCATATGAAAATAGTAAAGGAACACCGGCAGACGTTGATCGAGTCCAGTCCGCGCGATTTTCTCGACCACCTACTAATCCAGCAGCAGAAGGGCAAGCTGATGGTGTCCGACACCGATATCTGCTGTGTGTTAGATGATCTACAGAGCGCCGGGTTTGACACCGTCACTGCCAACACCAACTGGGGCATTCAGCTGCTTGTGCAGAATCCAGACGTGCAGAAGAAGCTGCAGGCTGAGATCGACGAGGTCGTCGGCACGGCCAGGGCG